GATAGTACGCTGGGGGGAGCCTGGGGTGGGGTCCCTATTCTCGAACGTCGTATTCCGATGGTCAAAGCAATACGTGTTCAGTACCGGAAAATGGCAGGAAATGCATGAAAAGCACTAAGAACGGAGCGAGCATCCTCCCCTTTCCCGCCGAGCGCTCGGCGCGGCCGCCCTCGCCCCACCGCTGCCGGACCGTCCCGGACCGTCTTGACCGCATTGCTGTCCCTAAAAGGGGTCAGGCTGAGGGGACAGGGCAAACGAGCTTCCTCAGCGGAGCTCGGTGGCTGCGTAGCATTCTGTCGCTTAAGGAGCCAGCCTCCGATGGGTCCCGCAGTGGGGTGTGGATCTGGCTGCCTCACCCAAGGTTCCGTTTGGTGACTGGCTGCAGGGGACACCAGGTAAAGCCCCCAGGCTGTGGGGAGGGAATGAGCACCAGGCGGGTGTGCCCCTCTGGGCCCTCGAACTCACCTGTGTCAGGGAGCGCCAGTCCATGTTGGCGCTGCCCATGTACACGTGCCGTCCATCCACGACCCAGAACTTGGAGTGCAGAACGCCCCTGGTGAGCCGCCCCAGGGGCACGTGTCGCACCTGGGCACCTGGCCGAGTCCAGGATGACCAGTTGAACCAGCTTCCTGACGAGCCGCAGCTCCTCACAGCTGCCTCATTAATCGTCACGACAGCCCTACTAGGTCGATGCTATTTCAGCCCCGTTTTACAGGTGGGGAAGCTGAGGCATCGACTGGCTCACGCCCCCCACCCCAGGTAGCCCAGGTCCAGAGCCCGCCTTTGTAACGACTGTGCCCACTGCCTCTCGCTCCCCGGCCGAGAGCAGCTGGGCTCAGCAGGACCTGAAGGCCACCCAGTGCTGTGCCCCGTGGCAAGTGACACTCTCAGCTCTTTGTAAGCAGCAGGTCCTGGTGGGATCGACTCAGAGGAGCTCGTAGCCCGGGGCTCCCTACCCCCCTCCCGGTGTCCTGGGGAAGCACGGGGTGTTTTCCCAGCACCCCGCAGCAGCTCCGCTGTCCTTGTCCCTGTCCGTGGTGGCAGCAAGTCAGCCCACTCTCGCCCCCAGCACAGAAGGTATAGAGCAGGCACCTACCGCGGTTAGCCAGGTCCCTCAGGTCAGTGGAGTTCCTGGCCAGTGTCGGGCAGCTGGTGGCCACGGCCAGGGAGACGTTTCTGTCCAGGAGCTGCTGCAGCTTCCGCAGGAGGGTCTCCCCCTGCAGGCCAAGGCCAGCCCTGAGCCGTGACCCCGGCTGGCCCTCTGCCACCTCCCTAGGGAGCCTGGGTCTGCCCCAGGGGCCACCCTGACCGCCCACAGCTCAGAGTGGGGCAGGCATGTGGCGACTTGCTGTTAGCCTGGCTCCAGGGCAGCTTGCACCCCAGGGGGAGGGGGGCGCACCGGCTGGGAAGATGAGTCGTTGACCCCGATGTCATTCCCCGTGAGGGACCAGTAGTAGGAGGCCACGTGGACGCTCTCCTGGGCAGTGTCCAGCAGCTGCAGCCAGGCCTGGGCCAGGGGCTGGGCAGACGGGCTGCCAGCTGCAAACGGCAGATCCTGGGGCGTGCTCTCCACGAGGACCAGCCTGCAGAGGGAGCGCGTCGGGCCCGGGCCTGAGCTCAGGAGCCACCAGCCTGCCTGCCATCACCTGCTCTGACCAATGGACAAGCGCAGAGGGGTCGAAGTCGTTGCCTACATGGTCCCAGGGCCGAGCCCAGCCGAAGGTGCGGGGAGGGGCGGACAACCAGACTGGGCAGGGCGGGCCGGAGCCCAGCAAGCCCGAAGGCGGTGGCACCAAGGAGCGTGTCAGGGAGGAACCTGAGCGCAGAGCAGATTGGGGGCCAAGCCCCGCCCCCATCTGAGGCACCGCCCCGGAGGAGCTGCTAGTCCTAGAGTCCAGCGGAGCTGGTGAGTCCAGCCCAGAGGACGAGCGAGCCCGGGTGGCCAGCGCCCGTCTCCGGGGCCATGTGGAGACGGCACCTCGCTGGGGAGGCTCTGGGACCCCAGGACCCCAGAGCCTGGCAGCACAGCAGCTGTGGGAGCGGACGCCACCCCCGGGGCTGGGCCGTGGAGGTGCCGCATCTTGGCCCGGGGAGGACGGGGTTCGCCTGCCTCGTCAGAGCCCCTAGGTGGCAGCTTGCGTTTGCTGCGAAGAGCACCCTAAGTGCACCCCGTTCCCAGCCCCCTCTCCAGCTCATCTTGCCTGGGGCCCTGCCCTGTACCCCACTCCCCTGCCTCGCTGTCCAGCCCCCGAGGAAGAGGAGCTGGCGGAGGGCAACACCCAGCCCCCATGGGTTCCGGGGGGATGCAGGTGGCCCGGGGTTGAGCCCTCACCCTGCTGACCCCGCGGGCTCACTCACCGGCAGGAGTCGGGCTGCGGCCGTGGGGCCCGCCCTCTACGGGGCTCCCAGGCCGGGCTGGAGCCCCATTCCCGGGACCTGGTGGGCTCTTCCTCTTGGTGCAGCCGGCCCCAGGTGGGGGAACGGGGCACTTGCCACAGGAGGTAGGTGACAGTCACGGCGCCAAGCCACAGCACGACCAGCATTCCCAGCACCTGCAGTGGGCAAAGGCATTCCCGAGGGGTCCCCAGTGGCATGGGTATGCTCTACTTTTGGGTGGGCCCCCGCCAGCTGAGACAGAGGCAGAGACTGAGACGGTCCCCAGCTCCTGGGGTGGGCCAGGCCTGTAGCTGGGGTGCAGCCGGGTGCGCAGGGGAGGGGGAAGACGGAGCTGCGCCGAGCCCAAGCCACTGTGTCGGTGAGACCGGGTGGCCTGGGGCCCACTCCGTGGCCACGTGGTACCTGGCTGTCCTCCCAGGTACCCGCGTGTCAGGGGGATGTGGGCAGGAGCCATGCAGCTGCTGGTCAGGGTGTCCTCGAGGCTCCCCCAGGCCCGGTTTCGTCCTCCCTGCTCTGCTCACGGGCCTGTGAGGCTGCTGAGCCCCCTTCTTCGGCCCCCACTCCCACTGTGCCCACCTCTCTGCTCCGTGGGCTGTGGGTGGCATGGGGCAGGGCCATGCGGAGGCCACTGATGCTCTCTGTGGAGGTCCCGGCACGTCACATGGCAGCCTGTTGTCACCCGCAGCCCCAGCTCTGCCCAGAGCAGCCCCACAGTGCCTGAGCAGCTGGGCACCTGGGACACCTCCTTGTGGGGGGCGTACAGACAGCCTCTCAAACCCCCAGAGGCCTCCCTGCTCCTGTCCAAGGTCACAGCCTGATGTGAAGCTCCGCCCTGCCGCCCCCACCCCGGGCAACCCAGCCCGCAGGTGAGGAACCTGAGCTGGCGGAGACCCTCGCCTTCCACGACTGCGTGTGTATATGAGCATGCGTATGCACGCATGTGTGTACACGTGTGTGTGGCCGGCCGTGTGCGCATGTGTGTGCATGTGTGTGCGTGTGGCCGGCCGTGTGTGTGTGTGCATGCACATGTGTGTGGCCGGCCATGTGTGCACGTGTGTGCATGTGGCCGGCCGTGTACATGCATGTGTATGCTCGCGTGTGTGTGGCCAGCCCTGTGTGCATGTGTGTGTACATGCATGTGTGTGTGGCCGACCATGTGTGCCTGTGTGTATGCATGCATGTGCGTGTGGCTGGCTGTGTGTGCATGCATGTGCGTGTGGCCGGCTGTGTGTGTGCGTGTGGCCGGCCGTGTGCGTGTGTGCATGTGTGCATGCACATGCGTGTGGCCGGCCATGTGTGCACGTGTGTGCATGTGGCAGGCCGTGTGCATGCATGTGTGTGCGCATGTGTGTGTGTGGCCAGCCGTGTGCGCATGTGTGTGAGCATGCGTGCTCATGTGGCTGGCCGTGTGTGCGCATGTGTGTGCGCACGCGTGTGCGTGTGGCCGGCCCTGTGCTCCCCTCTCGGTGCCCCTCTCGGCGGGTGTCTCGGTGTCAGGGTTCAGTTCCTCGTTCCGGCCGCAGCCTCAGTGAGGGGGAAAGCCGGTTCTGCTTTCGAGCATGGCCCTCGTTACCGGCCCACAAACAGCTGCTACCCCTCCCAGCGGGCCCCGTCCTGTCCTGGCTGAGGAAGCGCCCCATGCAGAGGGTGGGAAGGCCCAGCGTGGCCCAGTGGGGCCCCGTGGTGCTGTCTAGGGGCTGGGGGCCCAGTGGGGGCCCTGTGGTGCTGGCTGAGGGCTGGGGGCCCAGCGGGGACCCCGGGGTGCTGTCTGGAGACTCTCCCTCTGCAGCCAGCTGAGGACAATGACGCGCCTCGTCTCCTCAGAGCAGTGCACCCCAAGGAGCCGGAAGCCAGGCCGGCTGGGACTCCGCTGGAGTTAGACCTCTCCCCACAGTGTTCTCAAGTGCCACCATCAGCGGGGTGCTCCCAAGTCCAGCATGCCCTCCCTGGGTACAGGAAGGGCCCGTGCACAGTGACGGGGTCACCTGGGAAGGGCAACCTCTGGGGGCGGGCACGGTACTCCCCGTCTCCCTCCTAGACTTTGTGGGGAGGGACCCCTGAGGCCTCTGGGGTCCACCGCGGGCTGTCCTCCCATGGGACGCGGTGGCCAGCCTCAGCGTGGGGAGGGGGAAGCCACAGGAGCTGGGCTTGGGGGCTGTGTCTGCCCTGAGCCAGCGCATCCCACGGCGGTGGGCCTGGGAACCAGAATGACAGTCAGGGTCCCTGCAGAGTCCCTGAGGGCTGGCACCCGTCCCTGCTGGGCAGTCCCCACAGACAGGAGTCAGGGGCTCGGGGGTGTTCCCTTCGACTGGCAGAGCTGAGCTCAGGGGCCTGCCGACACCCCTGGGGGCCTGGGGTTCAGCATCAGGCCCTCGGAAGGCACAGGCCCACAGCCCTGACTGGCCTTCAGGAGAGGCAGGCAGCGTGGAGTCCTGGGTGAGGGGTGCTGGGAATGCCCTCGGGTGGGCTCCCCACGCCCACGCCACACAGGAAAGGGCCTGTGTTTCCCATGGGCTGCAGCTACGCGGACAGGCTGAGCGCAGCCCCACTTGGGATTGGAGCCCGTCTGCCCAGGCCACTGGTCCCCAGAGCATGTCATCTCCTCCTGGCCACTGGGTGGGGCATGGGGAGGGGGCCACCCCGGGAGGCTCTGGGCAGCTGTGGACCTGTCGCTTGCTGCAGCCCTGGGGACCGCGTGCATCCCTGGTCAGGGCCGGCTGTTGGGGGAGGTTGAGCCACCAGTGCTGCATCTCAGGGCTGCGGTGGGCTGGGGGGCCCCGTGGGGCAGAGCTGAGCTTCCAAGCCTCGTGGGCAGCCATGGGCCCTGCAGGCATCAGCGATGCCGGCTAAAGGGGCGGGGCCCACTGCGCTGCAGGACGGGGTGCATGGCTGCCGGGCCCAGGCTGGGATAGAGGACCCACTGTCAACACCCTGGGGGTCCCGCTGCAGAACCAGGGGGAGCAGTGGGTGGCCTGCAGGCCCAGCGGGAGGTCTGTGGGCCCCTGGGCCTGGGGCTGCTGGCGGCACGAGGCCAGGGAAGGCAGGGTCTCTGGCAGACTCTTCCACCTGGCCCTGGCCTCGCTGGCACTTACCTCGGGGTGTCCTGCCTTGGCCCCCATCTTGGCTCCAGCCCCAGGCTGCATGCCCTCAGCTCTCCCGCGGGGTCCAGAGGCCGCCTCCACCCCCGCCCACCAGCCGCCTCTCTGCAGCCTGCCGCTTCCCTTTCTGATCACTTCCTCTTTGTCCCCGGTACCTCCCTCCAGACATCTGGAGCTGGGGGGCCCCTCGAGGGTGGAGCGAACTCCCCTCCACCTCCCTAGACGGTGGCACTCCCAGTGCACCAGGCTTAGTGGTGCCCAAGGAGCCGTGGCTTAAGCAAGATTTTTTGTTTCTCACCTTAACCAGGTCCAGGGGCTGGCAGTCTAGAGATGATGTTGGCTACACAGCCATGGGAGCCAGATCCCTCCAGCTCTCAGCTCATCCCTAGGGTTGACCAGCAGCCTCGTGACCCCACAATGGCTGCCGGAGCTCAGCCGTCACCTCCATCTTCCTAGCAGAGCATAAAGGATATCCCAGAGCCTTCCTGCGGGTCCCACAGGGCACTTCTACTTATGTCTCATGACCTAGAACTCAGTCGCAGGGCCACGTCTAGCTGTGAGGGAGGCTGAGCGACAGAGGCAGCTAAGACCTCCATCCTGCAGAGCACAGGTGCGGTGGCTCGGTGCCTGTCTGAAAAGCCAGGCCTGGCGCGAGGTTGCCAGTGCTCCGCTCCGGCGAGGGGCTCTGCCTCCCCCCTCCCCCTGGGGCTCCCTGCTTGCAGGACCCTGCGGCCCCGCAGGCTTGACCTGTAGAGTGAGTGAGGTCTGGGTGTCCGCCCCAGCTCTCCTTGTAAGCGTCCGTCCAGGACAGGGGCTGCGGGGGTCCCTGTCCAGGGTGTTGGCTTCAAGGTGACTGCCTACCACTCAGGTGGGCAGCAGTTCCCAAGGTCAGGGTCAACAGGGGGTCTCTGGGGCCAATGTGGGCGGGCTGGGAAGTGAATGAGGGAAATGCCCCCCAGGCCCCTTCACGTGCTTCCTGGACCCGCTGCCCCCACCTGGCCTTGGGGTCATCTCCAGGCCACAGACAGGACAGTCTCTGCTCTCGGGCCGGGTTGCCGGACGCCTGAGCGCGGCTGGGTTGGGGCGTTTTCCGTGAGCGGATTCACGCATCCTCCCCATCCAGCATAACGCCGGGTTGTGGTTCAGGCGGCTGCTCAGAGCTGCCACGGCTCCACGCTCCCCAGCACGTGGCGTGCCAGACGATGCCAGCTCGCCAGCCTGGTGGGCGTGAACGAGCCTGAACGTGCCCGATCGTGTGCGTGTAGAGCGCGTTGCTGTGTTTGCCAGTCACGTGGGCCTTCTCTCCCGTGAAGCCTCTTTATGTCTTTGGCCCGTTTGCAAATTGGACTGTTGACTTTTTCTTATAGATTTGGAGGATTTACTTAATTTTCTGAACGCTCAGTTTCAGGTATAGCGACACCTTCTTCCGCTTTGCTTCCCCTTTCTCCCTGATAATACTTTATTAAAAAAAAATCTCAGACACACAGAAGGGGCGGGGGACAGTACGGTGAACACCCACGTGCTCGCCAGTCAGATTCCACCACTGCAAACACTGTCACGCCCGCTTCGTCATTGTTTTCACTAAGGAATTTTCCAGAAGGACCCAATGGCGTTTCACTCCGAACCGCTTCAGTGTGCATCTCTGAATAAACGAGTTCCCTGTGGACTCACGACGCGATCGTCATTCCTACCAAAGCCAACGGTCCCTTGAGCCCCGTAAATTCTACGTGTCATTATTCTATGCGGTCAGGGTGTGTTTAGCTTTACCCACCATTACCAGTTTACCTGCTCACATTCCCTGTTTCATTTCAGGGCCTCCCTCTGTGACCATTGTCCTCATCCCTGAAGTACATCCTTTAGCATCGGCTTCGATGAGAATTTAGCTGGTGATAATTTAACTTCTCGGTTGTCCGTTATTTTGCTTGGGCGTGTGTGTTGGGGGCGAATATCTCGGTAAATGCTCCGTTTCCGGCAACACAAAAAACGTCTCTAATGCCTTTTCACTGTTGAAGGGTCATTTTTCTAGGTACGGAATTCCTGACGGGTAGTTTTTTCCCCCGAAAGCTGAGGCCTTCAGGGTTCCGTTGCCGTTGTCGAGAAATCCGTCATCGTCCCTTTGCAGGGTACCGTCCTCTGCGGTTGCTTTTAGTGGCTTCTCCGCGTCTGTGGCACCCTTCGGTGTCGCTGCTGTGACACTGGGTGTCCCCTTTCCTTTTAAAAATTCTGTCTGGCACGCCCTCTTCCCGTGTCCGCGGACGCGCGTGTCAGCGTGCTAGGGCCGTCGTCGTGAAGCCCCACTAAGGGGGCGGCGTAAACGCAGAGGCTCCCGCCTCGGTCCTGGACCGGGAGACGGACGTCGCGGAGCCGCAGCGTTGGCTCCTGCCGGGGGCCGCGGGCGAGACTCGCTGCGGGCTTCTCCCCCGACGTCTGGCCGCCCAGGCCTCCCTTGGCTCGGAGATGGGGTCCCCCTGTGCCAGCACATCATCTTCCCTCTGTACAAATCCCCCCTTTCTATCAGGTACCGGTCGTTGGATTAGGGACCACCCTAGAAGCTCACCTTCACCTGACCATCTGTCAAGACCTTGTTTCCAAGCATGTCCTCCTTCACAGGAACCGAGCACACCCTTCGGCGGGGACATAATTCAGCCCGTAGCACATGTGTTTCTCAGCTCTGGAAAATCGCCACGATTAGCTCTGAATGTTTCTTCTCCCCACTCTCCCTATTCCGTTCCTTGGGAACCCTAAACACGCCAGTTTCTGCCGCCCGGTCCCCGACGCGCTTCCCGTCCCACGTGGCCCCTTGCCGCGTCCTGGGTCACTTCCCCCCGCCCGTCTCCCCTGGGGTCGACGCGTTCCCGCTTTCGCGGTGCCTGATCTGCTGTGTGACTCTTTTGAGATTCTTAAAAACTTCATTTCCAGTCAGTATTGTTTCCAGCGTGCTGCTTTTCCCGCGCTAAGCAGCTGGTTTTCGTCCCGTCCGTCCCTGTCACCTTCTCGGCCCCGTTCTCCTTGTGATTTGGTGCCGGTGCCGCTTGCGGTCCGTTCTGGTGCTGAGCTGACCCTCCGCCCAC